GAGTTGTTCAAAGCTGGGTTAAGATAATTCAGGATTATTTTATGAAATCTGATTTTGAAATTGAAAACTTTAAAAGAAAAGTTAGTTTAATTCTTTTTGTCTGGAATTTGATTATTGGGTGCTCTATAAAGAATAAAGAAAATTATCCTGAAAAGGCTTTTGAACAAAGAAATAAGGAAACCTGGATTTAAAGTTAACCCTGGGCTAGCGCTCATTGGTCTTTGAACAACTGGGCCCTGATTCTTGGATATACATTTTACCTGGGTCACTTATAATTGATTTTTTGCAAACTTAGGCAGAAATCAGAGTATTACAATTAGTAGACAGGTTTTTCAGTTCTTAGTGAATGAAGATTTAGTAGAGAGAATTTTTGACTGGTTGAAACAGGTTGAGTATACCTTCTATAACCAGAGATGACTCTGTGCAGTAAGTCCGCAAAACAACAGCCTATGAGCTGAGCTATTTTTCTTCAGGCCTTTAAATTAAAATCAGTTCTGCAAAATTTTATGGGGTTCGTCTTACAGCTGAGGGCTGTTGAAATTTATTACAAACTTTCCTTAATTGGCAGACAGTCAACTCAGTTTCATAGAAATAATAAACAGCTTAAGTAAATCACAACAAAATAAAAGCTGTATTTAGGAATCTGTTGTGCTATTAGTTGAACAATTGTTGTGCAAAGACATTCCAAAATACTTTGATTGTACTTTGGTTCAATGTATTGTAGGTGTAGATGCATCACCGCTTATGACTTGGGGTAGCATAGAAGGAACTCCTTTCCGTTTGGATGGAGGTGATACACCAATGACTGCCACCCCTGGGCCAATCTTTAAAATGCCAGAACCCAAAAAAAGAGACCAATTAGGACTGGTACTGGCTGACAAAGTCAACAGAAAACATCGTCAGAAAAGAAGAGATGCCTTAGCTAGGGCTACAGCATTGATTGGCAGGTAAGAAGATAATGTAATAAGTAATAAAATGTAGAAGCAAGCAAGAAAATATTAGATTGTTATTCTTGGCATTAAACACTTGTGTTGTTGTGAATCCAACGTGGCATTCGTTTATTGATTTGTAACACCCCGACTATAGTTTTAATTTTTTTACCTAGCTTTGCAAATTTTTACGCCAATTTTTTTCTAACTTTCTTTGTTTTGAATTTATCAATATTATCCTTCATGTAGAAAATATCTAGAAAATCAGTTCAAAAAAAGAAAATTGGCATTATAAGAGCTACAAGGACTCATGTTACATTCATGTCATGTAAATATATTACTTACTAGATAGTACAAGGTTGTGGTCTAGCAGTGCCTGGCGCCTTACTTTTGTTCTTGGGTGACTAAGGAATATTTAGTTTTTTCATATAAAAGCATATGCTGGGCACCTTGTATTTCAAAGTTTCAGAGCAGTGGGTTACCTTCACTCTTTCTTAGAGCACAGCCTTGTGGTGTTATCAAGTCTTCCTGCCTTTCAGTTAACCCCCTTTGCATCCTAACATCAGTATGCATATTCTCCATACTGTTCTCTATACATTTCCAAAGGTGCTGACAAGGAGAATATATTTAGCAATCAAGATCTTCTTTGGTTAATGATCATTTCCTTTATTCTTATGATCTTAGTGTTTGATTCAGGGGTGATATTGTAAAGAGAAACAAGATGTTAGTCACTTGTTAGGGTTAAAGGGCCAATGGAGGTGTGCTGAAACAAATTCTGCATGGCAACAGTACTATGATTGAAGAGCTGTGCACTCCTGTTTCTAAAAATATTTTCAACTTTGTCCTGCAGGAGTCCAAAACACATGAACACTGTGGATCGCTTGGGGCAGTTGTCACCTGCTGCACAAAGGCTGGCCTCACAAAGACTTGGAATCAGAACAGGAAGTGACAAATCACTACGAGCAAGTTATACACCATCGCCATCATATCCGCAATCAGCCAGCTCTACCCCTGTTCATGTACAGCAGTCCACCCCTGTGACACCAAAGGGTCACAGTGCAACACCAACACAGAGTGCATCACTTACAGATAATCTCCTCAAGTTGCCAAAGCACTGACTTCCTGAATGTCTTCTGCACCTTACTTTAACCCTCTAGACCCTAACATCAGTATGCAAATTCTTCATACTGTTCCCCTTATATTCCCTATGGTACTTACAAGGAGAATGTAACAGTCAAGAACTTCTTGAATTCACAATCATTTTCTTTATTCTCATGACCTTAATGTTTGATTAATTAAGGGGTGATTCTGTTGGGAGAATTTAGATGCTAATCACTGGTAGGGTATAAAGGGTGAATGACAGCCTCTTGTCATCAATACCTGGACAGAAAATTTTTAACCAGATTTACCAGACTCCAAGGAATTTGTTATATCACCGCTTTTGTTTTGCCTCCCAAACCCTCCCCCCTCCCTAACCTGAAAAGCAAATGAAGGAACCTTGCCCTCTTCATGGGTGAAATGTAGGATTAATGAAAATTAAAGAATTATTGCAAACAACGACAATTAATTCAAACCACATTAGCTTTGTTATGAAAAAGAAGCACAAACTATTTATAAGGTGAATATTGGAGGAATAAAATTCAAATCACTTTGACTGAAGTTGTTGTGTATTTGAAAAATATTTTCTGTGTCCATATGTGTTGTGGAAAAGTCATCAACCCATTTGAAGGTGATAAAACCCATGATAAATTTTTTTCCTCCACCCTGCATTCCCTTTTTCAAATTTAAGGAATTACTAAAATGCAAACTTCTGTCATATTATATTGAACAGCCAACAATGAATGGAAAATTAAATGATTTAAATTCATATCAAGAGTTTCTACTGCCCGTAACCATTCTCATCTTTATTATTGATGTGCAAGAGATATGCAGTCCTCTAGCCCTGAAACTCCCAAGATCTTGATAACAATACTTCTCACCTTTTTAGGCTCTGGGAGTTTTTTAAAGTAAACAGTGTCCTATAGTAATTTCTCTTTCTTCTTAAAAGTTTTCTGCTTGCACATGTATTGCTATTATATAGGAAAATTTATTTATGGTCACTTGAGACTAAGATAGAATAGTAGACATGAACATGTCAAGTCAGAGTCCTTACAAGCTGTCTGTTGATGCATTTTAAGGTAACCTTTCCAAGAATTTTTTTTGTCAAAATTTTAACCCTTTGCAACAAGTTTTCAAGTTTCAAGTTTATTAGGTCTTCCAATACAATTACTTACAATGAACACTGCCTGCAAATAGCGAGCTAATCTAGGCAGGGAGTGTTAAAATAACAAAAAAAAAAGCATTTAACTAGTCTCCTAAACATTCCTTATCTCTAGAATGCATTACTGGTACCTTCCACAATTTGCAACGTAAAAACATTGGATGCTTTCAAAACTGCTGTCAAAACTCATTTTCTTAATTTAGCTTTCAAACAGTTTTAACTAGTTTTTACTCGTTAACTGTTCCCTTTGAGTGTATAGGTTCATAGATTTTAATAGTTTCTTATATTTTTAGTTACTTTTAACATAATTTTACCCTATGATATTGTGAAGTGTGACTGAATATATCCACATAGAGATCTGCGCTATATAAATGTAAATTATTATTATTATTAAACAGAAAACATGCCATTGGTACAGGATATTTGTTATCAGATGGCCTGAAGCCATAGGATTCTTGTGAGGTTTGAGAAGACCAACTCAATTTTACTAGACATGGTCTAAGTTTCAGTGCATGGACCAGTCAACTCTGGCAGGCAACTGTATTATTCCTCAGAAGTCTTGGTTATCCAAAATAACACTCTTGTTACGATTTGTTTCACTGCCATGTCCTCCAATAAGATTTGTTCCCATGGATGAAATTGTATCCCTATTTCGTCACATAGAAATAGTAAGTGCCCTCTACCATTCTCCAACATTTTTTTTTTCATTCTTATCCTTGCACAAGTGTTTTCCTCAAGGTTCTCCTACTGTTCCTTTTAATTAAGTCACATGAACCTTTCAGTTTCAAAGTTAGTGAACTGATGTGGAGAATTGATCGTCAACTCATAATCGTAGGTTCTTCTTTCATTTACATCACGAGTTCATCATTTAGTCATTGCAGAGGATGGCCATCTTCCATGCTTTCACCAAGAGAAGTCTTTGTTTGGAAACTTTACACACAACAATGATTAAGCAAAATAAATAACATTAAGTCCCCATAGTTTTATTGTTAATGAACTAACTCATTTAAACTTTTACACCCTAACACAAGTATAAATGTTTAATTTAGGGGCAATGTTGTAAAAATAAATTCAATTTCAGTCACTCTTAGAGGTCAATGGGTTACAATCAATCTTTCTAATCTCAAGTGAACCCAAGAGATGGACAAAGATCAGTGGATGTCCATGGCTAAATTATGTTCAATTATCCATTTCATCATGGTAGGAAGGTTTTGAACTAAACATCACTCCAATCACAACATTTCATGGCACTTCACACTTTATTCAATAACTCACAAACATCAGCATTTCTATGATACATGTAGCTGATAAAATCATGCACATATTTTGATTGGTTCTTACTTGTTATCTATTGGATGACGGATACAGTGATCATATCCCCACTATGTTTTTGCTTCATTGATATTTACAAAAAAGTAGATTCCATGTTGATGTGCATTTGAAGAGTAAAAGAACAAAAAATGTTAAAAGGACATTAGTGACGTACATAGCTGTTCTTAGTGCACCACTTATTAGTTCTTATAACACTTTGATGTCATATGTGATCTATGATAAAACAAATGCACAGCCACTTGGAACAATTAATAAGATGATTACATGGCTGCTGTTGCAATTCTATTGCTTGGCAATACTCTTCAACATTTCTACAAAGTTGCACTTCCATTGCATTATCAAGAAAGGAATTGACCTACATCTACAAGACAATAGACTATAACTCTTGGAGTGCTAATCCTTTGATGGCTCTTTCCTTGATTTCTTAAAGCAATGTTGGGTTTTATTTGTTCTCTAATGTTCAGCTTTTAAGCTAAAATCTTGAAGGGATGAGCCAAAATACTGATGAGATTAACGTGCATTTGCACTCAGGGCTCTTTTCTATAGAACCCTGTCATTAAAATTGTACTCGTTAAAAATTCTACGATAAAAATACACTAAAAGCAATTTTAGCAGTTTAAAGTAAATTTGAGCTTCTGAAGCATCATTTATATTGATTCATACTATGTGCCATGCTTTTATCCTCAACCCTGTACACCCTAACATCAATATGCATATTCTCCATACTGCTCTATACACATTCCCTATGGTGTTCATAAGGAGAATTTGATTAACAATCAAGAGCTTCTTCAGTTGATGGTCATTTCTTTTATTTGCTTGACCTTGATGTTTGATTCAGGGGTGATATTGTAAGGAGAAATAAGATGCTGGTCACTCTTAGGAGTTAACAGCCTAAAACTGACTACATTTAAGTTTTTAAAAAACAATAAGCTATTCTACATATTTAACATGATAGCAAAATGCTCCACTTAATTGCAACAAAGGACTGCTGCTTGAACCTTGCCAACTAATGTAGCACATAAAGTAGTAATACTTTCTAAACTTAAGAGCTATCTATTACCTACAATTTAAATACAACAGAAAAATAAAGTTGCTCATGACAACTAAGTGCCCCAGATGTTGCAAAAGTTACTTGGAGTGACCTGCAAAAATAGACAATACATGGATTAGAAATGCAAATGCATCCATTTTCTATCACTCGACTAAATGTGGTGAATACAATGGTTACCATAAAAGAAATAGGGATGCCAAGAAGAGCAAGTTTACCTCAGTGTTCCATGGGCACTCCAGTCATAAATGCCTGAACAACTGGCCGCTGCAGCAAGCTACGTGCAGTTGGTCGGTCCTGTGGGTTCTCCTATAAAGACAATGATGGCAAGGAAATGTATTTCAATTCTTTTTGGAAATAGAACAATAAGGCTAACTAACATTCACCAGAACAAAATGGAGAGATATTGAACAGAGGTAAATGGAAAAGAAGAGAATCTCAAGGAAAAAACTTCTTCCCAAGAAAGTAGGCAAGAACTGTTAATAATCATTACTTGAACATGCTTGAATATGTGCCTTTTACAAAAAATGAACTGATTCATCATGGAAAGGTTGATATTAACAGTTAAATGTTCAATCTTTTTAATCACACTCTACAGCCACTGACATAAGTAAAAGTTAAGCGATCAATTGAAGTTAACAAATGATGGACTACTACATTGCTAGCCTGCTTAAAATGTTGAGGTTGAATGATTGCACCCCTCTCTATTTATGAAGTGGAATGATTAGCTGCTATCATGCAATCACTTATCTCTGGGCTGGCAGTTATGCAACTGAAATGTTGCAGTTTTCAATTGAATATATAATAGATATGAATCAAGAGTAACTTCTTCTCTTAGACTTACCTTTGTGCAATCGAATGCCAACTGACCAAGTTCATGATTTGAGTTCCCTAACTCCTCAATCTGTTTCCAAAAGAAAGCATAACAGTTTCTTTAGTAAGTAAAATGAAAGCTGATACAAAGAATTAAAGAGCTACATCATATACTAATATATATGAATACGAGACAACAACAACAACAACAAAAAAAACCCATTCAGTCACTAGGTGTGGCAGAGGTTTACCCTAGTACCAATCTTCTTTAACTGTCATTATGTTGATATGCTTGTTTCCCTTTCCTCATTGATTCTGAAGACCAAATTTTACATCAAATGTACAAAATCTAAAAGTTAAGATTCCAAGCATTCCTAAAATACTGAATCTCACTCATCATTATAGCTTACCTGTTCCTGCAAGGAGTCTTTGGATGGAACTCCAACAATCAATTCAATTAGAAAGCATCCCAAATTGTAGATGTCAGCTGGCCTGCCATGAGGTTTCTGTTCCAAAACCTGCAAAGTTTAAAGGAATGTCATGGTCATGACATACTTTATAATACTGAAAAGAGACACTAGCATAATCTCCACCCTTTGAAATCCTACAACAACACTAGAAAATTTAATATGAATTGTTTTATTTGCAAATACTATAAATTTCACCAATTGTTTGTTGGTGGATGAAGAGTATGGAAGCATGTTTTTAAAAAAAATGGTTCTCTTCCATTTTTATCACTTCTGTTCTCATTTTAGTTGGTGATTGCCCATCAACAACAGTGATAGCTGAGAAAATGAACCCAAATGAAAAAGGAAAAAAAAAGAATTTTGTAAACTTCAGCTTCATCTTAATCTTCTTAATCCTAAATTTTTAATAGTTAGCAATTGTCCTAAATACCAGGTCTCTAACCTCAGGAGAAGCAAAACCCTTTGTTCCAAGGGGTTTCAGACCAGCTTCAGTGAGTTCGTGATGCAGCCTCCTTGCAGAGTCAAAATCAGCCAGTTTGGCCCGTGAACCTTCTGCTGTCAACAGCACATTTTTGGCTGAAAACAAAGATCAGAGTTCATAAGACAGTCTCATATTAAGCCTTAATATTGTAATATGTTGATATATACATTACCAATGCCTGTTTTAGTTTACTTCTACAAGTCATAGAACAGCTAGTACTTTTTTTACAAATAGTACTAAGTTACATAAAGACACAGAGTTTCTGAAAAAAATCAATTCTAATGCAATTGTTGTCAAAATGTTCTTACCTTTGATGTCTTTGTGAATTACAGGAATTTTCAAGTTGTGCAAGTAATCCACAGCAGTGAGCATCTGAAGCCAATAAAACATGGCTTTCTCGACATCCAGGCGTCCCTCTGACATTGACTCCATGTAGTCATAAAGAGATTGTTCTGCAGAAAGAAGAAGTCTTCTAACTCCATGGGTGACCAAGAAAGAATTTACAGAATAAATACAATGTAAAGCCAAAAAGTGGTGAGGATAAAGGAAAATATCAATCGGGGGGATTATTAGTTGATCCAAAACCTAATTCTCCAAACTAACATCATAAGACTTGTATTGCAGACAGTAAGGATAGATAGAAACTTTAGATAGATATAGACAGATAGAAACTTTATTAACGTGTCAAAGAACCTTCTAGTTTGGGAGATATCCCATACTGATGTGGGGACACAAATAAAATGGATAAAAATTAGTTACAAAGAATATTACCTACTTAAGAATAAAATTAAGTCATATCATTTATGAAAAAATATGAAATGAATTAAGAAGTACATAGAGCACAGCTCCTGCAGCCATCATCTAACTCTGATGAAGGGCTAACGCTCCAAGGGCTAACGCTTGAAACGTCAGCTTTTATAATCATAATGGTGGCCAATTTACTATTTCAACTTTGTTGATATGTTCAAACTATCTAATAGGGAGCTGAGGTCATGCTTACGTCTGCGGTTTTTGAAACTAGCTAATGTTGTGGCTGATCTGTTATAAGTTGTCAGTTTACTCCATAATTTAGGTCCTAAATAGCGCAGTGAAATGTTTGAGAATTAATGATGAGTTTTTGAGAGTAAAAGGGTTAGAGAAACAAAAAAAAATAATGTGAAACCCAGCTAATATGCTAATGCATCAGTTAAATAAGGATGAAAATGAGAGTAGTTGTAACATACCACACTTNTGTCGAGCCCTGTCTAGATAGATAGCTTAGAAAAATTGTGCAGAGAAACATTCAGGAGAAAAAAATTTGATGCGCTACATAGTAGTTTGCAAACTTGAGATTAAAATGTTGGAAGCTACTAGTATAATTGTTAACAGCTTACTACTAGTGGCTGATTTGTGTTTCACCCAATTTCTCTGTTACAACAGCAATCTTGGTTGGTCTTTTAATTTAAAAATATCTTTGCTACCCTTGTAATAAAATGCAGTCAACCTAGCAATGTCTAGTTTGACAGCCTCTCTGACGTTTGCCATGACAACTGTGCCAATGGAAGAAAAAAAATTTACCCAGTATATAACCTCTATCTAATCTTAGGCTAGACTTTTGTACTAGACAATGATAACAAATTAATCATATCAATTAAAACATTACTCGGAATATCACTCTGCCATCAATGTGAGCGGGCGCTGGTGGTACCAAGACTGGTGCTACAAAAGGTACTGCTACTGGTACTGGCCCCGGCCCTGGTGGAGAAACGTTTCTCTGCCTCACTGGAACAGGTTCTCCATTTCTTTTACAACTCTTCCTGCAAGGATAAATTTAGTAATTGCCTCATTAATGTGTCTAAAAAGCTTGTTATCTATGAATCCTTGGTAGAGGGTAAAGCATTACAGCAAGCTTACAGTGCCTTTAAAAGGTGTTTTCGATTTATCTTTTTAGTCTGAGCACCTAACCCTCTACGTCTTCTGTTTTTAATGAAACCAAAGTGGAAAAACCTTACATGTATATGTTAGAAAGGTATTATTACTGTAAAAATTTTGAGCTTTTTCACAATATTGGAATCCTTGATTTCACTTTACTTAAGTTTCTCACTTAGTGTATTAAAAATTGCACTAATGCATAACCAAATGCAACTTAGAACATTGTAAAAGATATGATTTGGCAGGTTGGCTTTACCTGAGGCTTTCACAGTCAGGGACCCTGCACCCTGGCCTACGACAAACACCTGCATGCTGTTTCACAATATTCCGTGTGTTCACACAACGTCCACAGTACTGCCATTCTTTATGAACTTGCATGTGCTCCAACTCTAATTTCACCTGCAAGGTAACATACAAATTAACAAGACAACTCCAGCCTTGGGCTTTAACTATTGTTACTGTAAGAGATGGTGACTCAGAAACCAAATAACTATTATAATAACTTCTTCATTTTTTCAATTATCCTCAGAGCAATTCAGCATACTTGACACATTTTGAAGCATTGTAAACAACTTACATTCTTGCATTTGTGGTTAAGGCAATTAGCATTCGAACAGTAACTTGCATGCTGAACATCTTGGGGTAAGAAGACAAAGTCACTCTGCAACGAAATTTATAAATCAAGCATCAGCAACATTACATCTGGTATTGTTTTAACACGTGGATACCAACGTAAAAAAAAATCAAGGGGAAAGACTACACATCACACTGGCTCTCACCTACCTACCCTAGCTGCCTATATCATTCAGAGTTCAATTTAAGCTTTTTGTTTTTCAAGTCATTAAACAATGTAAACCCACCCTACATGAATGACATCAATAACTAGCCATTATATTGTCTACATACAATTGGTGTTGACCAACTTGAATGGCAAACTACCTTTCCGGTTCTGGTTGTGCTAATGTGAGTTCCTTCCTCACCAGGGCTGTGACACTGTTCTGCAGTATCAACTTTGGATGGTAAGAACATCTGGAGGCCTGACTGATTACTGCTGGAGAAATCTACCTCCATTTTTTCTTCACTTCCGTCACCTTTCTCTTCTCCTTCAGATCTTTTCTTTTTGTCTCTGACTGGTGTGTCAGTTCGTTGTTTACCAGGGAAATACCACTGTGGATATTTCTTCTTATCACCTCCGTCATCATCTGCATTTCCCTTTCCTCCACAGCCACCACCACTGCTGTTTCCTCCAGAAAAACCACCACCACCACTTCCAGAGCTACTACTGCACCCATCATCACTACCACCACTGCTGCTTCCTTCACTTTGAACCCCCGAGTCTCTCGGTTCACTCAAGTTGGAGTTAGGTTTTCTCTTCTTGGGTGGTGCAGGTTTTATGTGGTTGACAGATTCAATGATCTCCTCATGGAAAAGATATGGATGTTTTGAAGTACGTTTCCTAATATTTTTTGGTTTCCTTACTCTTTTCCGTGTTTTTTTGACCTGCTTGTGTTGCACTGCAGGAGGATCAGGCACAGTAATACACCAAACATTTCGTTTTTCTCTTTTACCAGCTTGCCTACAGGTTAAAATAAATATTCACATAGGATTAAAACTGTACCCAAGAGAAATATTAGCACACAATCCACAACCACTCTTTGTTACCCTAATGACTTAAAATGGTATATCATTTTAAAGGTACGAAATGTGAGAAAATTGATTACAGTAAAACAGTTCTCTACAGGTCACACAACACAGCAAAGTACACTCCTGCTGATGGAATCCTAAAGGGAAAACCAAGGAAAGACACAAACCTTCTTGGAACAATTCTCTTTTTAGATTCAGTTTGAACAAACTGTCCTGCTTCTTCGATTTTCACTTCTGCAGTTTCATCATTTGTTTCTTCTTCTATCACAGAGATGTCATCCTGAACCTCCAGATCTTCAGATGAAGCTGACAGAGGTTCCAACGAAAGAAAACCTTCTGGACAGCAAGAGCTCTCTTGTGTTGGATACGGGATGGTCAAAATGTCAAATTTGAACTCTTTCATTTCATCATCTTCTATGGAAGTAACAACATTTACACTTTTAAAAGAACAACTTTAAACTGCACCTAAACCCCCAAAATTTTTTTTCGCTTAACGAAATAAGCTCATTTTTCGGAGTATTTCTGTGCAAAAATTTTTTTATTTGCTTAAATCTTTAATTTTCTGTGCCCAGTCAAAATACGGAAAATCGGCCGCCATCTTGCCCCACTACAGAGTTTAAAGAGGAATGGCTCTGGCAGGTAATGTGACTTCAAATCAAGAACACGAAAGTCTGCATTTCACACATTTTCACTTGTTTGGGAAGGTTGTCATCAATAATGTCTGAAATATGCCGACTAGGTGTGTTGTTTGAGGAATGTATGACGCGCCATACCCTCTTGCAAATTTCGCATGTTGCTTTGTCCTTCTATGACACACTTAGTCGGCATATTTTCAAACAATATCGACAACAACCTTCCCAAACAAGTGAAAATGTGTGAAATGTTGACTTTAGTGTTCTTGATTTGACGTCACATTACCCGCTAGAGCCATTCCTCTTTAAACTTGGTCGTGGGGCAAGATGGTGGCCAATTTTCTGTATTTTGACTGGGCACAGAAAATTGAAGATTTGAGCAAATAAAAAATTTTTGCACAGAAATACTCCAAAAAATAAGCTTATTTCGTTGAGGGAAAAAAATTTGGGGGTTTTGGTGCACTTTAAGTCGGATAACTTACAGTGACCTTCCAGTACACAGTGGATAAAAAGGTGTACAAAACAATTAGAAAAATATTAATTCTTGCACGACTGCTCTTTCTTACCCCCCATGATTTCTTATCTTATGTGACTTATCTTAGTTATGTAACTAATCTCTTGGCACATACATAATTAGAAACAAGGCTAACTAACAAAAAAAAGGCACAAAATAGACTTCCTATATTTAAATTTTAACTGTTACTTTATTCAGTCATGTATGTATTCCAAAAAAAAAAAAAGAAACTGGAAAAGGAATTGAAATGTCAAGCAACATATATAATTGATGCACACGAAGGGGTCAAAGACAGCCCTTTGCGTAGCAATTTATGCAAATAAATGGTGCACCAACACTGCAACCAGATTATTAGCATAAACTTCCTGTCAGTCACTCACATGACTGGAAAGCAAAAGCAATTTATCAACGATCTCATTGCACAAAGGGCATAATCTAAATTCTGGACGCTGCTCACTCTGTTTATATT